CACTCTTGGTATTTCTCTCCCCCAACACAGGAAAGGTTTGATGAATTTTCCAAACAGAAAAATGAGAAGGGTGAGTATTCAGTTAATCTTACTTGGAGAGTCAGTTTTAATGTGCAGTGTTTATTTTAAACTCTTCTCCTTATGTGTTTTTAGAGTTGAGACACATTGGAACACAGATCTCAAGTGACTCTCATGGAAGCATAGATAAAAGTGAGTATCCTAACAGTGTGCTTGGTTTTATGCCTTGTTTACTGTGGTTAGTCGGCATATGTACCTCTTAACCTCACTGCAAAAATACTGCTTTGTAGATACTCTGTCGGAACAAATTTTGTTATTTTGGACAGCTGTTAGTTAATTCGCATATATCCACATTTACTTATCAATGTGCATAAAGACAACTATTTTTGTAAAATATATGAATGGAAGAATCAAAGAAGTCATTAATTGGGTAAGGAAAAGTACGTATAAGCCCCACATTTTTCATCAAGTAACGATAGGTTTCTGTCTAGACTACAGCCTATCAGGTTAATTCATTAAGCGTCCTGGCTGCCAGAGCAGTGTGAGGCAGAACTGTAGTCAGGTCTCTGCAGTGTGTTTTCTAGGGATAGGACGAGGAGAAACCCATGTCTGAGAAGCCAAACACTACTGGTTACAGAGCACAAGCAAGGCCAGTGTGGCGTGCGTGCGTGCTTCCGACAGCGGGCATGGGAGGCCGGGCCGCAGGTGAGGGATAGGACTTGGCATCGAGATACTTTGTGGATTGTGTGGACCTTGGCTGCTTTCCTCCTCTTCTGGTCTGTTTTAAAAGTGGAGATAGAACTTTGAATTTCTGTTTAATCTTGGAAGGCTTTTTTTTTTTTTTTTTTAAATAAAATGCTATGGTAGCAGATGAAGGTATTTTAGTTTCACAAAGACTTGACTTTAGTCAAAGTCAAAACTGAGAAGTGACACCAGGTACATAGTATCTCAATAAGTTCCCCCTTTCTCCTTGTGTTTGCTTGTTTAATTCGGAAAATAAGTTCAGGTTTTTCCTAGCTTAGGGTTTGGCTGGCAGTTGCTGATGTGGATGGTCTTGGATTTGGCTTTTGGGTGCTGATGTGGTGTAGGGGCCCATTTTCAGGTTTCCTAGTGGCTTTACCCAGCAGATCTTCATATTGAGGATGATTGGACCACGGGCCTGAGTGCAGGTGTCTGAGATGCTCTGCACTTGGCTGTGCTGGGGGGGAGGTCTTTTGCTCCACCTTTTGGCATTTCTTTAAATGCCCTAGGTTAGAGACAGTCTGGGCCCGTTGGAATAGGTTCCAGGCCCTCTCAAAGCTATCCTGTATTTTCTATCTGTTTATCTCCACACTCTAAATCCTTCTGTCTAATGTTTCCTGCTGATCCTACTCAAGAGCACTCTAGGGAGATGTGGGGGTGGTGGGTAGCCCCACCCCTCCACCCCCCAATGTGGGTGGTCTTGAGTTTGGCTGTCAGGTACTGATGTGGATGGTCCATGGAGTACTCATGCTTGGACAGTCTTTTCCTACCTTGTGTGAAAAGTGGGGCCTTAGCAGGTTTTGCTGAGGTCTTACTGGCTCACCTTCCAGTCAGTGGTCCACCGTGGAGGTTGTCTTTCCTTCTGCAGTCTGTATGCAGCCTTCCTGCTGAAAACAACCCCACACCCTCCTGTCATGTTCTCTGTCATTATGTCCTGAAGTGTTTTAACACCAAAGAGCTCGTTACTGCCCCAAGTCATTTTATGTGGTGTTTTAATCTTCCTTGTTGATGAGGACAGGAATGCTGTCTGTTGTACATTTTTCTTTTTCAAGTCAATAAAGTCAGCTGTGCGCCTGGTTGCACTGACGTCATAGTTCTTAACTGATCCCTCAGGGATTTTCCCTGTTCATGCTTGGCTTTGGGAAGAAATTGACCAGTTGGTCACTGAAGAGTGCTACATTGGGTTTCCTTTACAAAAGGCTGACCAAGGCTGCTTTTTCTTCCTACTAAGTTCCAGTAAACAAAGACTTGATTTAAATGGAAACAAGTAACTGTGTACCTGAGCCCAGCTGATGCTGTAATTCATCACGTGGAATGTTCTGGAGAGAGCATCTTGAATCTGAAGCCACCTTGGCTACATAGTGATACACTGTCTCCAAAACTAGAAGCAGCTCTCCTGGACACTTTAGGTCAGTGGTTCTCAACCCTTGGGACCCTTTCACAGGGGTCGTCTAAGACCATTGGAAAACACAGATATTTACATTATGAAGTCATAACAGTGGCAAAATTAAGGTTGTGCACTAGCAATGAAATGTTATGGTTGGGGGTCACCACACCAACCACACCATGAGGAACTGTACTAAGGGTCAGAGCACTAGGAAGGTTGAGAACCACTGCCCTAGATGTTTAGCATCAGTAGAGAAAAGTGAGTGTGGAGGATGGGAAGCTGATGTTGACCATAGCAGAGAAGAGCAGGGTCTCAGCACTCACTTTTCCAAATCATGGGGCAGAGCTTTAATGTTCTGCAAATTATTGAAGGGGACAATAGACCAGCCTTCTAGTTACAGAAGTCATTGCTTGAGTTTTTTTTTCAGATACTGTTCTAAGTGTAGTTTATTTAAGTATGACCTATGAATGAGAATTGTTAGAGATGGAATAATTGGGTAGTTAATGGCTGCTTTGAGTGCTTTCCCCTTCCTCCTGCTCCCATAAGATACTTATACATGCTCTATGAACTCTCACAAACGGGCCCACTCAGCAGCCCTTCCCTGGGGTTATGAAAGGACAACCTACAGTGATTGACAGGTAGTAGACTCGGAGTGTAGGGGAAGGAAGCAGACTTTGTCTGCCTTCAGTGTTTGCCTAAACCTTTGAAAACTAGAATTGGCAAGAAAAAGCCCTCATGTTCTAGAAGATTGAAGAACAGTATAAACTCGTAAATAAGAAAAATGTTCAGACCTGCTCATACTCTTGAACATGTTCAGGAACATGCCCACAGCCACTGGCATCACGTGTGGTGTGGAGCCCCTGAGAACTAAAACCCCAGCCACATAGATGAGTATGGGCTGGACTATTGGGTTCATTTCCTGACCCAGGAGATGAAGTGTAGGGTCTCTGAGAATGTAGTCAAAGATGGCAGAGAAACAAATGCCCTGAAGTCTCGGCATTCATCTGTTAGAACATTTCATACTCAGGAGGGAGTTATAAGGAAGAAAAGGAAAGTCCCTGAGCAGAAAGCACAGGGTGTGTGTGTGTGTGTCTGTCCGTCTGTGTGTGTGTGTGTGTGTGTCTGTTGACACCACGAGGGTAAAGCAGGACTCGTAGGCTGATATGACACATGCCTCAGATCAAATGAAGCAGAGAGTTGATTATGTGGGACTGACTTAAGATAGGCTCAGCAGTGCTGTGTGAAAGTGGTAAGGCCAATAGTAAGTCCAGTCTTCAGAACAATTCCATGTGGATTAAAGGTACTGACCATTAAGAAAGTACGGCTGCTGTGTACCCAAGAACACGGAACTGTGCCAGACAAACCTCGTGGGGATTCCTGAGAAAACGAGACAGTCTTCATGGGGACTTACATGTTTGTCTTTGAAAGAAGGGGTATGAGGGGCTGGAGAAGCACCTGCCAGAATGACCATTTATGTACACCATATACTCAGAGTTCTTTAGACCATTGTTCAAAACTTCGTAAAGGTTGGCTAATACAACTAAAAATGTAAATGTGGTGTTGATAAAAGTTCTCTCCCTAAGTCAGTAAAGCAGAAAAACCATGCTGGTTATGATGGTGGGCCTTTGGCACTGGCTCTTGGTGGTGAAAACAGCATCCACACTGTGAACAGGGTTAAGGACAGGAGAGCCTGTGCTGGTGCAGGCTCCTCCGCGGCCACAGCAGAGTCCAGTCTCCAGTGTTGTTCAGCTGCAGGAAGTAGAGGACAGGTGGATTTCCAGGACATCATTTTTTTGGCCCCAGGATCTCCAGAAGTCTCACTTGGAAATGGGTTTAGAACTGATAAGAGCGTGAAGTTGTGTCAAATATCATGCAGTGTGCTCTATTGACCCAGCTGAAGATGAACAGAATAAGAGCTGCCCTTTTTCAAATGGCAGGTGAACCCTCCAGTGTCTAGAGAAAGATCTAAGGCAATACACAGCATCCCTAGAACAAGGGTGGAACATCCCTAATCATTTCCAACTAGTGTTGCTTCAGCTCAGCAGGTATTGAAAAGTGAAAGCTGTTCGAACAGTAAACTCCTTTAAGGAGAACTGAGCTGGACCTTGTTCTAGCCACACTTGGCTCGCTCATCATGACTTGAGAAGACGCTCTTGATCCCGAGAGTAGCAGAGGAGTGCAGAAGTCAGAAACAGTTGTGAGCACCTTAGAGTGTGGTAAAAGAAGAAATGCTTCAGAGATTCAACATACGTGCAGAGTCACAGCTGAGTCATCCAGCTACACTGGAGTTTTCTCTGTTGTTGGGAAGGCTAGCCTGGGGACATCCATGAGAAGGCATGTGTGCTCCATGGTTTTCTGACCGTCCTCCAGGAGGATGGAAAAGGATCTTGTTTTCTTTGTTTTCAGGGGTCCTTGTTTGCTGCTTTGGGTATGTGTACTGAGCAGAGATCCGGTTAGGTCATGTAAACAAAGGGAGGACAGTGTTTGGAGCAGGCTCTGGGGTAGGTTAATCATAATTCAGATAAGCTTTTCAGCCGTAGGGATTGGAACTCAGACTTCTGGAGCCTCCAGTGATAACTGGGTTGACTTGGAATAGGAAAGGAAGGGGCCACAGGTGGGGCCAGCAGCTGTTCTGGACGCCCTCTCCACCCACAGCCTCCTGTTAGGCTTAAGCAGCCCTTTCCCAACTGGAACAGGTTTACCCATCTCCCGGACCTCTACCTTTCCTTCTGCCTCTTCTACGATGTCTCTCCTGTCTCTCCTGTCCCTCACAAATTGAGGGGACGCTATCCAGTGCCTTCCCCGAGCTAGAGAAGATGTGGCCGAGGGTTCTCCCAGTGCTACTCTTCTGGTATCAAATCCAGCAGGTGCCAGTTTGTTTATAGTTGGGGCGACTTCCTGTAACCTGGGCTGTTCCATGCATGTATCACTCCTTTTAAGTTTTTCAAGCAATGCCAAGTAACGCTGAGTCTCTGCTGTGTATTCTTCTAATGCTGATTCCACAGAGGTTCTAAGTGGGACGGAGTCACTGTCGCTGGAATCTGTGAACTCTCCAAAGTAGGATTCCTTCAAGTGACAACAAAGTACAATGTCATACAGACACTCAGCAGACCTACCCTGTCACAACAACTAAATACATTCAGAAGAGTGGGTGTGACCTCATTCTGTGGTGACCCCCAACCATGAAATTATTTTCATTGCTATTTCATAGCTGTATTCTTGCTACTGTTAGGAAGTCATGTAAATATCTGTGTTTTCCGATGGTCTTAGGTGACCCCCACACTCACCCCCGTGAAAGGGCTGTTCAACTGCCCCAAAGGAGTTGGGCACAGGTTGAGAACCACTGTTCTAAGGGAAGGACTCAGAAGACCCAGCCCTTTGTTTGTTATTGAAGGCATTTAGGGCTTTTCTCTATTTGTGTGTGCCGTTGTTCCGTCGTGCTATGAGATGGGTACAACAGTAGCAAAGCATCCCTCAGTTACATGAGTACATCACCAGATAACCTTGCAGCACCACCCAGAGGACTGAGGGACTGTGCGAAGTCCATGGGTGTGAGGTGGGGTCGGGTGGGGTCGGGGGACACAGGGCAGGAGTGCCTGCAGAGGATACCCACAGCCGCAGGGGAGGACACGCTTTCACAGGGCGGGAAACAGCTCCAGAAGCACCGACTCAAGCTGAGAGGCCGGGGATGTGAAGGGCTGATGGGATGGAAGCCTAGGATAGTACAGTGTCGGGATAAAGTGCCTGTGACTCATTAAATACACAGATTCCAAAATACCAACCAGGCAGAAAATATAAACACAAAGGGCTTGAGGTGAAGCATGGATTAAAATAAATACAACCTATGGTAATTAAATTTCAATGTGAAGCAGTTTTGAGGCCAAACCAGCTAAGTTCTTAAATTAAGCCCTCACTTAAAGTAAAATCTTTAATCCAGGGTGGCAGCATTATGAAGGTTGAAAACCACTGCCCTAGAAGAAAAAGCAAGCAAACCTGTGGCCAGTCTTCAGTTTTTACCAAAGCATTGCCTGACTTTTGTTGACAATGAACTGATGTGCGTGTGGTTGTAGTGGGAAGGTTGGGTACTGCTTCCTGAATGAGGAGTCCTGGCTCCACAGAACTGTGACTGATCTCGGTGCTTTGCTGTTCCCAGGGAAGGTGAAAGTTCTCCTGAAAGAACTGTGGCTCTGTGTGAATGCGGCTCACAGGCTGTCTGGGGAGAGCAGCAGGCGCATCCCAGGTGAGAGATCCCACATTGGCTCCTCACACATGAGCGTGACAGCGTTTGCCATGGGCTGCACCGTGGCCTCCGGTGTGTAGGCCTCCGGTGTGTAGCCGAGAGTGGGTACTTGAAACAGTGAAGCAGTGTGACTCTAATCCCAGCAGATTCAGTCTGATTTCCATAGCAGCTCTCAAAGAGGCTGGGAGGGGAGGCTTAGGCATCTTTGGCCTTGTGTGTGGAAGGCCAAGGAGTTCTCCTGTGCTACAAAGTAGCTTCTTTGAAATTACTTTTATTTTCACACAAGAATGTTACACAGTGGGAGAGCTCCCTTAGAGCTCTTTCCCAGCCCTGTTAACTATGGGGTTCATGGAAATTGCACATTTTCCCACTTATACAGGATCCAGTCTCAGACTCCATTTCCCAGTTCTGCTCAGGACTCTGTGCTGGGGACTGGTAACAGGATATATGTTACACTGTGACCCACTAAGGGTTGAATCCATGGTAGATCTCCCTTGCTTCCAGTTTTCCCAGTGAAGATTTTTTTTTTT